TTGGCGAACCTGGAAATTTTACTTTGAAATATGGAGACAGGAAACTCGGCACGGCAATCGAACAGAACGGTGTATTCGTTCTCAACTTCGTACCTGAACGCACCACTGCCGACTCCGACAATATTCTCTCTCTCAGCCCATGGGAACATCGTGATGACATCGATTACACCGATGATACCGTTCCTCGTGAAGGAGTCGTACCCCCGTCTTCAACCACGGCTGCCGCTAGCATGCTGACCTTCGACAATCAAGGCTTGAATGACGTCCAGAACTCTCGAGATTATCTTGCTCAAGTTGGTGGTTGGTGAGATACGACGAATATGCCCATGGATGAAGGCGCTTGGGGGGCACAGGAACCTGACGAGACCACTTGGGGAGAAACACCTGCTGATCGTGATCGACGTCTTCTCACTGAAGCAGAGCAGCGTGTCGCTGACATGGAAGTCCTTGACTCCGGACGACTTGTCGGCATTGAGCCTAAACATGCAGCATCAGATCAAGAGAGCGGGGAATTAGTTCTCTCTCTTGGCGAATACGTCGATGTTGACATAAAAGTTCCACCACCTAACCTTACCAGGTTTATCTCACCTGTCACAGATCATGTTCGCGCTGACGGTCATCGGCTGCTGTTATCTTTCTTCGCTAACGCTGATTATTATCTGCGCGCACAGGGACACAAAGCAACTGCAGACACATGGCATAAGCGTCTTGGTCATCCGTCGCAGTCTACGCTCAACAATATAATCAAAGCTGCTGTTCTCAACAAGAATTCGCTTCTCTTACCTGGCGGCCTCGAAATGAAACCAGTCAATCGTCCATCACCCTGCTTGATCTGCCCAGCAGCAAATCTACCGCACGAACCGTACCCGACTCATTTTCCTGGCGCTGAGGATTATCGCTTGATGGAAAAATTCTACACCTATATTTTAAACTTACCTACAGAGGGTTTCAATGGCGAGAAATACGTCATCACGTTCTCTGAAGCATCTACTCGATACGTCTGGACTGGTAACACGACTAACCGTTTTCTTGCCTTCACAGCGTTTTGAACATGGCTGCCTCTCGCAGAACGCGAGTCCGACACCAAACTCAAAACCTTCCTGTGTGACGGAGCCGGGGAGTATCGCAGTCTCGAGTTTACAACGTACCTGCAAGAAAGAGGCATCCGGCGCCTGTTCTCACTTCCTCACGCTCACCAACAGAGCGGTGTAACTGAACGCCTCAATCGCACTCTGCAAGAAAAGATGCGAGCACTACTCGCCCAATCTCAACTCGGCCCACTCTACTGGCCCTTCGCAATGGACCATGCAACACTGTTGCATAACCTCCTGTCTTCATCGGCTCTACCCAACAACGCATCACCTCACTTGTTGTGGACAGGAAAATTGGGCACTACAAAACTTCTTCGAGTTTTTGGGTGTGTCGTACAATATCGTCCTCCCACCGCTCCGCTCGGAAAATTCGATCAACGTGCTAAGTGGGGCCTTCATCTCGGCCTTGAGAAGCAGTTTTCTGCCTGGCGTATCATGGATTACCGCAGTCGCATTTTAATTCCTGCCCGTAACTGTATTTTCTACGAAAATCTGACCCTTCCTGTCTTCGAACAGTATCTCGCCACGCAGCGTGACCCTGCTACACTTTTCCACGGTGTTCGTTCATTCGCCAGCGCTGACGCCAAACTCACTGCCAGCGAAGAACCTGACCTTGACGGTGCACGTGAAGCTGCTCCTGATCCACCTATACCAACCACTTCTTCCGGATTTCCGGAATTCATTCCTCTCGTCGACGCTCATCCGGAGGACGTTCGTGAAGTTCATCATACTTACCTGGTGGACGACCAACGACGTCCCATGCCAGCTGTAACTGACAGCAGCATCCGCGTCGATCCTGACGAAATTGGGGGGGCAAGTGGTGAACAGAGTGAACTTGTCAATTTCGCAGGACAGACCGAAGACAGTCCTAACTATCAAACTGGGCTTCAGATACTGGGACTCGCAGCAGCAGTACAGCACAATTCTACAGAAGTCGCAGAACCGAAAACTGCACGACACTCTCTTTCAGGACCACATCGCGAAAAATGGCATGAAGCTATGGATCGTGAACTGGCTGCCCTGGAAAAACAGGAGACCTGGGATCTCATACCCATCGAAAAAGCCGTAAATAAAAATGTTGCTACCGGAAAATGGGTTTTCAGGGTGAAGACGAAAGCTGATGGCTCTTACGAAAATCATAAGGCAAGGTGGGTTGTTCGCGGTTTTGACCAAACTCATGGGGTAGACTACACGCTAACTTTCGCCCCGGTCAGCCGACACACAAGTGTTCGTCTCGTCATCTGCGAAGCACCTGCGAAGAATTTTCCGCTTCGACAAATTGACGTTTCCAACGCGTTTCTGTACGCTGACGTCGATGCTGAAATCTACGTCGAATATCCGCATACCTATCCGACAAATCCGCCAAGTGTCTGCAAGCTCAAGAAGTCACTGTACGGTATCAAACAAGCACCGCGACTGTGGCAGCAGCATTTGAACAGGAAACTTACAGAAGTTGGGTTCCGACAACTGCCGCATGGTCCCGGAATGTATCGACTAGATGACAAGGGGAGCTACGCGCTGCTCGTGGCATACGTGGACGATATTCTCAACGTCAGTTCTTCGGCTTCCTTGGGTGATCGCATCTAAGCAGATCTGAAGAAATCTCTTGACTTAACCGTCTCCACCGAAGTAACCCAATTTCTTGGGTTAAACATTTCGCGAACCTCCTCCGCCATCCACCTCACAGCATCGAAGTATGCTGAGTCAATCGCTAAGCGTTTCAAGATTTCTACAAATTACGTCGCTACACCCTATCGATCTACACCCACCGGGCACATCCTAAACAACACCAAACGTTCAGTAGCTGGCCTACAATTGTACCAGCAGCAACTCGGGTGTCTTCTCTTCGCAGCAGTCACGTGCCGTCCCGACCTTGCTTACGTCGCAAGCTATCTCGCACAATTTTTACGCTGCCCAAAAGAAGAACATCACCTCGATCTTCAGCGCGCTCTACACTACTTTGTCGCAACACCAACAGTCGGGCTGATTTTCAACACAGGAAAACCGACCGACAAAATGTACCTCGGCGGATATGTCGACGCAGACCACGCTGGTGACACGTCAGATCGTCGGTCACAAACAGGCTACGTCTTCCGTCTCGAGCCAATTGGCCCGATCTCATGGAACTCATCGAAACAGGAACTCGTGTCACTTTTCTCGGCTGAAGCAGAATTCATTGCCGCGTGTGCTGCAACTCGAGAAGGACTATACTTACAGGAACTACTCGACGAAGCAAAGTTCGTCACGCCAAATCAGTTTACGTTGCAGTGCGACAACTAGAGTGCGATTACCATCGCCAACAAGCCCGGCTTCGTCAATCGAACGAAACATATTTCACTGCGTTACTTCTTTGTCAAGGATGCGATCGACAAGGGGAGAATGCGCCTTGTCTACTGTCCCACTGGTGACATGGCAGCTGACTCACTTACCAAGAAACTGACACGACAGAAGTTTCACCACTGCAACCAGTTCAGCGGCGTTTCTGAGACAACCGGGTAACTACACCGAACTCCTAGAAGTGAAGGGGAGTGTTGAGATAATATGGAGACTTAAGCACTTCAGGGAATTCGTGTAGTACAGTGCGAGACTTCGCACGTAATAGTAAAGTACCGATAGGCTGACGTCAGCAAAGCGCTACGCGCCCTAGGATGACGTCAGCACGTAGCTATAGGCCTCGCAAATAGTCACGTACCGTTTCAGAACAGGAATAGCGTGAATAATACAGTACAGTAGGCGAACAGGTACTTTACTCTAGCTATATATTCTGTATGCTTGTCATTTTATAATATATCTGATTTCATAGACATTGATCCTGAAACATATCACTACATGGGCTTTTATTAGTCTAGACAAAGCCTTCTATAACTGGCTTTAACTCATACAAGACTTCCGCTACGACAGGAAGCTACCAACCTAAGTATTACGATCCTTCTCAGGGTACATTCCGCGCTGGACACTTTCTCAAAGAAAGTGTCCCAATCGATTTTGGCCCGAGTTGCCCTCAAATGTCTCGAGTCCTCATGTCCCAATCGACCAATGTACCGCGACATTGTACGACCAGGGCGACAATTATGTGTGATCAAATATGATTGGTGATTTTGGTGGAAGCTGCGCTGGCGGGAAGTGCGCGGGCCTGTCAATAATTCCGTGTGTGTTGGCTAGACCAATCACGCTGCATTGAACGCGTTGATAGGGATATGGGTGTCTGTTGAATGTTGTCTAGGTACATGGAGCATGTGGGGACATTTGGCACCGCGTGCGATACCGTGAATGTGTTGCGCTGGCGTGCAATTAGCGCGCGATTGTTCCGCAGTTCACGTCAACCAATTATTAATGCGTTCGGCGACACCCACGTGCGGCCCGGGTTTCGGACACCTGGCAGCATAAGCTGTACATACGCGTCACAATCGATTGGGACACTTTCTTTGAGAAAGTGTCCAGCGCGGAATGTACCCTCAATCATTTCAAATTCTAACACGGGGAAGGGAAGGGGGTGGGGGTGGGGGGGGGGGGGGAGGAGGGGGGAATCTTCGCTAAGGGAAAAAATACCCCAGAGCATCAGTGTGGCCTAAATCGTTACACTGACATATCAGTGTAACCCTAATCCGCCAAAAAATTACCCAAACGCATCAGTGCAGGTCCTAAATTGCACCCTTATTCGGTAATCAGTATAGCAGTGTAAATTACACTGGTAAAATAGGCACTGGCCGTGATGGTGCAATACAAGTACCGTATACGTGTCTGAATTGAGTTTTGATTGTCGTCTTTTCATAGCGAGCATAGTATACAGTAGCAGAAAGTTCTGTGATAAAATCCACGCACGGCAACAGCAATCCTCAGGAATTGTTGGTTGTAGAAACCATGTCCCTTCCCTTGTACTGTAGTATATTTTATGTACACCATACTGTATCACGGGAGTGCAGTGCCTCTATTGATAGCCACAGCGACCTCTGACGTCGCCGTGTTCTCCGCATACCGCTTGTAAATTTCCCTCAGCCTATCATGGTCCGCCAGAGTGGCACGCACGCTTGGGTGAGCTCCAATTGCCGTCTCCCACAGGCGGAAACGACGGAGCGCCGGAGAGGATTCGTCGTGCGAGGGGAGGGAGAAGTTGCGATAGAACTGGAGGATGTCGTGGCGTAGCACCCAGGGCGCGAGTGAGATGTCCTGCCATGCACATGTGCGTCCGTCCAGGCGTGCACACACGAGACGGGATAGGGGTTAAGGTTAGAAAGGAACAAGGTAAGTGCGCAATGCGCGTGGACATGGGAGAAGTTGCTGTGGTAGAATTGGAGTATGTCGTGGCGTAGCACCCAGGGCGCAAGCTAGATAACCTGACATGCACATGTGAGGCCCGGCGTGCATGGGATGGGATATATAGCAAGCAGACAACCGGGGGTGGAGAAGAACGAAGGTGGGTGTGTGATATGCCTGGGCATGGCAGGTGGAGGGGAAGGGAAGGTAGGATTAATGGTAGAATTGTGTTTAACAGGTCAGGGCAGGAATGTGTTTAACAGGTCAGGGCAGGAATGTGTTTAACAGGTCAGGGCAGGAATGTGTTTAACAGGTCTGGGCAGGAATGTGTTTAACAGGTCAGGGCAGGAATGTGTTTAACAGGTCAGGGCAGGAATGTGTTTAACAGGTCAGGGCAGGAATGTGTTTAACAGGTCTGGGCAGGAATGTGTTTAACAGGTCTGGGCAGGAATGTGTTTAACAGGTCTGGGCAGGAATGTGTTTAACAGGTCTGGGCAGGAATGTGTTTAACAGGTCTGGGCAGGAATGTGTTTAACAGGTCTGGGCAGGAATGTGTTTAACAGGTCAGGGCAGGAATGTGTTTAACAGGTCAGGTCAAGTCTACGAGCTCGATGGTATTGAGAGGGCAAGCGTGCAAGGGTGACAGTGGGAAGGAGCTTACTGGAGTTAGTTGAACAGGGGATGGATGAATGGTGGCTAGTGCATTCGAAAACAAGGAACACTGGGAGGAGGATAAACAAAGCGCACCATCCCGGATGGCAATAGCGGAGGCAGGGAAAAGGAAAGAGCAAGCATGAGCGAGGGATAGGCAAGAGAGAGCACCATGAGGGAGAATCGCTGGGCAAGAAAGAAAGGCCCTTGTGGACTGATGGTCTCCATGGCTGCTCCTAGCTGCTCGTAGCAGCTGATTAGCGCCGCCCTCTCTGCCTCCTGCTCCTCTCGACTCTGCTTCTGAAGATAGCTGGAGCATGGCAGCGGCCAAAGGAGGGGGAAGAATGGACTAGTGGAGTAAGATTATCTCTGTGCGGTTGTTTTTCTTGCTTGTTTGTTGGTCATTCATACCAAGCTCAAGGCTTGCGTTGGCTACATTCTGTTCCTTGAGTGCGCAGCATGAGTAGCCGGCGCGTGGACCGGAGAAAAATGACCGAGAGAGCAGGAGCAAGAGTGGGAGGGGTGGTAGCGTACGCAGAGAAAATGTGGCTAAAAAACCAAGCAGGGAATTCAAGCAGGGAAAACAAAGCAGGGAAAATGAAGCGGGGAAAACGAAGCAGGGAAAACGAAGCAGGGAAAATGAAGCAGGTAAAGTCAAGCAGGAAAATTCACGCAGGTAAAATCAAGCAGGTAAAACCAAGCAGGTAAAACCAAGCAGGTACAACCAAGCAGGGAAAGTTAGTAACAAATGGCGCTCACATTCTTGAGACATCTCGGAAAACGGTTGGTGCTCACCGGTAGAAGGTGGGAACGATCTTGCGATTGACAAAGTCCATCCACATTCGCACTTGCGCCCTCTCGTACACGTCCCTTGGCATCAGATGCACACCCGTGCTCCCAGCAGCAGCAGCAGCAGCAGTGAGAGGTGAAGGTGGGAAGGCCTCGTCAATGTATTCCATGATCACACTCGACTCGTACAGGCACCGCTGCTGCTGCTCTCCCTGCTGCTCGTCGTGCTGTGTGCAGCAGAGCAGGCACGAGGCCACGTGGGTTCACGGCCATGAGCTCTGCTGGCTTGGCGTATGGATCCACCTCCACGTACTGGGGGAGGGGGGTGAGGGTGGGGAGGGTGGGGGGCGCGCATGGACTGCGCTTGAGGACCGTTATGTCGACGCAAAGGTCAACGCGGGTTGACTTCACGGCCATGAGCGCCGCTGGCCTGGTGTATGGATCCACCTCCGCGTACTGGGGGAGGGGGGTGAGGAGGGAAGAGACTCCACGAGTCAAGAAAAAGAGACAACCGACGAGTCAAACCCAGCAGAGCGGATTCACGAGCACCAGCTTACTTGATGCTACTTGCAAAACCCCGAGCCGGCTGATTCCCTCGCACCTCGTACTTGACGCCCTTGGCCTCCAGCGCGATCCACGCGCGCTGCGCGAACGGGCAGAACCACGCGCTGAACAGACGAACCGTCTCGCCCTCGGCACTCGCCGCGCCGGCTTCGCGCTGCGACGACAAGGCTGCCATGGCTCCGATGCTGATCCCCCGTTCAAAGATTTCCGAGAATCCAAAGAAAAGGCGAGCCGATTTTCCGCACTGCTCCCACTCGTTACGTTACGGAGAGGGGTTAATCCTGCGTTCACGGGCGTGAGTGGTAGTAGTATTATAAGAGCTACCGACCTGTGGCACCGAGCTAGCAACGAGGCTCTTTGATTGCTCCACCAATGGCGTCCGGAAGGCCTCGACTGAGACGAGGAAGCGATGACGTCCGCTTGCTCCGGCTAGAACTGGTGCTGGTACGAGTCAGCAGCAATTCGTCTTGGGTGCGAGTCGCCAGGACCGTTACACGCGGCGCGCGTTGCTGCTGCTCGCTGCGCCCACACCGCACAGGTGTCTCGCGGTCACGACAAGACGACTCAGCGGCGCGAACGCGTCGGATGGACTCGGCAGGGGTGGGAACACGCGGAATTTTACGTAGACGAATACCGCAGGTGGCGTGAATGGGGAGAGATGCACGAGATAGAACTGGATTGTACATTACACACAAGGCCTTCTCCCACACATTCGTGTAAATGCGGCTAAAATGTTATGCTCTGCTTTGTGCAACGGTCAAATTGATATTGAGAAGGGTTGGGTGGGGTATCGAGCAAGCACGAATGCTTGGCAGACATGCCCTGGTGAGGGGAATAACAGGCGCCTCTAGCATGCACATTGTGGACAAGACCGAGTGCTTCGGCTCGGTTCAGTTCGATTCGAGCCCTTTTGAAACAGACGTCTGACCTGACCTCGCGTTCCAGACCTCCACCCCCGAGCTTCGATCACCCAAACCGTCATTTTATAATCCGACATATTTTGCATACAGTTCGAACGACCCCCCGTTACGCGAAAACCTAAGCACACCCACTGTTACGGGTGCAATTGAGAGAGCGAGCTAGAATTGCACTATCTAGGCAAAACAATACAATGAGCGGAGGCATGAGCGAAGAATATATATCTAAACTACAGTTGTAACGGTAATGCGTGAAAATGGGGTGCGCGACGGGCCTAGCGCCGAGGTTGGGAATTGTCGAGGCGGAGGTCCGGAGCGCGGGGTACCCACTGAACCGTGAGGTTGGGTCGCGTCGTGAACAGTGGCGGGAACAGTGTCGAGGCGAGTGTCGCGAATGGTAACGGTTTAATGTTAGGTGCTGTTGGCGGGAACAATGGTGTACGCGCTGAGCAGGGACGCGAAGTAAGGAAAACCAATTTTCCTTACACTTAAGCGAGCGAGCTGCAGGGGCGGAGAGCGGGCTGCAGGGGCGGCGCGCTGGCTGCAGGGGCGGCGATCGTGCTGCAAGGGCGGCTCGTGGGCTGCTAAAGGCGGCGCGCGGGCTGCAAAGGACGGCGCGACGGGCTGCAAAGGGCGGCGCGACGGGCTGCAAAGGGCGGCGCGCGGGCCAGCAGGGTGGTGCGCCAGGTAGGGCAGGGCGGCAGGGCAACTAGTGGGGCAGTGCTGTGGTGGGCCCGGTCCTAGGGAAGGACCTGCTCTGAAACCATGTTAAAACTACTGAACGATAATGAATGGACTGAACAGAAAGTTGGTGTCAGAATCCCAGTCACTAGACCATTGGGATAGAAGGGCTTTTTAAGTAGCGGGTAAGTGCGCCCATAACCCCCCAGGACAACGAGCCTGTAACCCTTCCCTAGGATCAATCGGGGATCACCAGTGGACCTCTGACACCCCCCCGCACTGGGATGCCCGAAGTGCACACATTGGGATTCGAACCCGAGACCTTCGCTCTGATACCATGTCAGAATCCCAGTCACTAGACCATTGGGATAGAAGGGCTTTTTAAGTAGCGGGTATGTGCGCCCATAACCCCCCAGGACAACGAGCCTGTAACCCTTCCCTAGGATCAATCGGGGATCACCAGTGGACCTCTGACAGTTGGTACAAGTACTAACCCTAATTGGGTTGTACCCCTTATGGGCCCCCACTACAGCCTACACAAAGTAAGCATTATAACATTTTGACAGTTTCATGCCCCTTTTTTGTAGGTGACCGTGTAGTGGAAGTTTGACTCGAGGAAATCGAGCCAACGAATATGTCATGGGTTGAGGTGGGGCTGTGCGCGGAGGTACTGTAGTGATTTATGGTCTGTCCGTACGGTCAGGTCTGCGCCGGTCAAGTAACAGCGCCACAATTTGAATGCATGCTTGATCGCGGTCGTGTATTGGGTAATTCTTCTCGGGTGGGTGCAGCTTTCGTGACTCCTATGCGATGGGCTGTAGGCCGTCGCCGAAATCTTGTAGCAGTATGGCTCCGATGGCGATGTCGCTTGCGTCTTTCACTACTTCAAATGGGCGGTGAACAGAGAACAGTTTTCATGGCAGAGAAGGCAGCATGCTCTTTCTCCCCCCACGTAAAAGCGACCCCCTTCCACAGCAGATCCGTCAGTGGGGCTGTTAACCGCGCCATGTCGGGGACGAACCGACGCACTTAATTAACGAACCCTAAAAAACTCTAGAGCTCCGAGATATTTGACGGGGGGTGCCACGCTTTGACCGTGTCCAACTTCTTTGGGTCAATCTCAACTCCAGCATATGAAATAACGTGTTCCCAAAACTCTAACCTATCCTGAAAAAACTCGCACTTGGAACCCTTGGTCAGTAGTCTGTGCTCATCTAAAAAAATAAAAGCTGCTTCCAGATCTGCTAAATGCTGCTACTTATCGCGACTGTAAACGAGGATGTCGTCGAGGTAAACTATCACGCATTTATCTAAAAGGGGCCGAAATGCCTCGTTCATGGTCATCTGAAATGTCGCCGGTGCGTTGGTCAACCCGAATGGCATCACTGTGTACTCGAAGGACCCGTACCTAGTTCTAAATGGTGTCTTGGCGCAGTCGGATGGTTCCACTCGAATCTGGTGGTAACCTCCCTGTAAATCTATTTTCGAAAAGACACGTGCTGTTCACAGTTGATCTATCGATTCGTTGGCGCGGGGAATGGGATATCGCGACTTGACTGTTACCCTGTTTAGTGCTCTGTAATTGATGCACATGAAAAACCCTCCATCTTTTTTTCAGTGTGAACAGTATCGGTGTGGCGAACGGTGATGAGCTCGGTCGGATGAAGTTTTTCTCTAACAAGTAATCTAACGGCTTCATCAGTTTGTCGAGCTCGGGCTGTGTCAGTCGGAACTGTCGCTGTACAGTTGGCTATGCCCCCGGTTCTAGTTCTATGTGGTGGTCGTGTGCTCGCTGAGGTGGCAGCCCCTCCGGTAAGTCATTCGGGAAAATCCCCGGGTACCATTTCAACAGTTCCTGTAGTTCGAGCGGTACTGCTGCCAGCAGTTTCTGAAAATCACTCGGCTGCTCTGCTTCTCCTACCAACAGTATATCCACCGCGTGTGAAAGTAACGAGCGAGAATGAATGAACTAGCAAACAGTTGGGTACAAGTATGAACCCTAATTGGGTTGTACCCCTTATGGGCTACCCCACTACAGCCTACACAAATGTATAAGCTATAATGTTCTGACACACCCCCATAGGCAAAGTGGGGGAGAAAAAGTGGTCACAAGACCAGTCAAGAAAGCAAAGCAAGCTCAGGGTGGATCACTAAGTCACCACACAGTCCGAGCACAAGCAAAGGGCCACAAGGCCAGTTCACATGCGGAGTTATATAAAGAGAACAAGCAATATAGTGATCATACCCTAGCAAGTACAAGCATGCAGGTATATATATAGATCACAGTACAAGTAGAATCAAGCAGTAAGCAAGTGAGGCAAAGTAGGCACAAGGCCTAACACAGTAACAAAGCGCTGATGATCACCAGGCGGAAGTGCCTTGGCGAAGACATCAGCAGTGTTGGCCTGAGTGGCCACGTACGCAAGACGAAGCTGGCCACGCTGCTGCAACTCTCGAGCAAGGAAGTATCGCAGAGCGATGTGCTTCGTTCTGTGCTCCAGTCTGTGCTCCTGACACAAGGCAATCATGGCCTTGTTGTCTACGTACAGAACTGGAGGCGAACAAGGCCTCTCTCCCAAGTCGGTCAGCAGGTAGGTGAGCCAGCATAGCTCCTGATCAGCCATGGCCCCGGCGTAGATCTCAGCCTCACAACTGGAGCTGAGAACCGAAGACGAGCGGGTAGACCACCAAGAAACAGAGCCGAAACCAAGGCTGAAGGTGTAACCCTGTGACGACCGCTGCGTAGCTGAGTCGTCAACCCAGGAGGCGTCTGCGTGACTGGTGAGGACAACTGGACCCCGTCCTCCAAGCACGAGCCCCATGCCCGACGTACTGCACAAGTAACGCAGTACCCTCTTCGCAACATCCTAGTGCACCTTTCGGTGCCTGCCGGGAGCCACGTAGCGAGCCAGGAGGCTAAGAGGGTACGCGTGGTCGGGTCGAGTGCAAGTCATCAGGTACATGAGGCAACCCACAAGCTCTGGGTACGGACCACTCGGCTCTACGGACTCGTCCGAAGGTGGAGCTGAGAGCGAGTGGCTGGTAGACAGAGGAGCGGGCTGTGGCGAGGAGAACTGGAAGCTGAAGCGCTGAAGGACCTGGTGCACCATGTGTGACTGAGTCAGGGTGATGGTGTGCCGAGCTCTGTCCCGGGTGATCTGCAAGCCAAGATAGCTGCGCAGTTCACCCAGCTCAGTGCAGGTGTGTCTCTTCTGCAGCTCCGACTGTCAAACATATATTCTTAATTATATCTAGGCTTAGTTCATGTCTTTACATTTGTAGATTAGGTCACCCAAACATATAAGTCCTAGCCCACCACCTACTGCACTGCCCGTACCTAGCCCGTCGACTTCGTCGCCCGCGCCCGGCCCGTACCTAGCCCGTCGCCCGGCCCGTACCTAGCTCGTCGCCTCGGCCCCGCTGGCCCCGTCGACTTCGTCGCCCGCGCCCGGCCCGTACCTAGCCCGTCGCCCGGCCCGTACCTATCCCGTCGCCCGGCCCGTACGTAGCCCGTCACCTCGGCCCCGCTGGCCCCGTCAACTTCGTCGCCCGCGCCCGGCCCATACCTAGCCCGTCG